ACATCTCCGATTAATAGTTACGTTATCATCATTAAGGGCGAACGCTTCGTACTTTTGGCAAACAGTTCGAACGAAGTCAATGAGGCATTGGCGACGATGAGACGCCAAAGAGCAGGAGAGTCGTTTATCGATATTATCGTGCGGCCAGCGGCAGCTCACCGTCGCGCGTCGCCTCGAAGGAACGATAGCGAGCGACCGTTAACTCAGGCCGCGACGCGACGCGACGCGACGGCACGGCACACATGTCGCGCAAATAGCCCGACGTGGCCATGTGTACATGCACACGCACGCGCATACACGCGCAACACGCATGCACACAATGCTCACGCGCCGCGGGTCTTGCACGTACACACGTGAGTCCGAAACGCGTTTTCGCGCTCACGCTCGCGTGTGTACATCCTTCCGCGAAAGGCAGGCGAACCGGACGACAACGACGACGACGAGGACGATAACGACGATGATGACAACAACGACCAAGTGAGCGAGACCCAACACCGCTTCGCTTCTTCGTCTCATCGTACGCTTCGAGGGAAGCAGGTGAAAATTAATTGTACGGGTTTCACTCGACTCGCGTTCTACGGGAGAGTCGTGGAACGCGCGGACCCAGTCTACCCGCGTCTATCTACTACCCGCGATAGCGGCGCTGCAAAGTGTGTCGCGTGCGTGTGCGTGTGCGTGCGTGCGTGCGTGCGTGCGTGCGTGCGTGCGTGCGTGCGTGCGTGCGTGCGTGCGTGCGTGCGTGCGTGCGTGCGTGCGTGCGTGCGTGCGTGCGTGCGTGCGTGCGTGCGTGCGTGCGTGCGTGCGTGCGTGCGTGCGTGCGTGCGCGCCTTCGTCGTCCTATAACACCAGGACGCCATCGATCGATTTTCCTCTCGGCGTCGTCGTCGCCTTGTTGCCCATCGACCCCATCACACCCCCCCTTCCGCCCATCGACTCTTCTCTCCGCCGTCGCGAACGTTTCCTCGTGCCTCTCGCGACGCAATGTTGGCGCGCGAGACACGATTCGTTAATCGTAGATCGAAGCCGCGCCGCGCCGACGACCAACGCAGTCTTATCCGCGAAATCATATTTTTGTTGCCGCCGCGCTCTTAGCAACGCCATAACCGCCGCGCGTATTTCACGCCCGGAACTGGGGTCAGCTGCTCTCCGCGATATACGCGGACTGCGCTCGAGATACGAGTGGCGCGGCCGTCGCTAAAAGAAGAAAATTATTTCCTTTATATACTGAATTAATTTCGACGATACTACGAATCGATCCAAGTCACTGTTACAGCCAATCGAGATGTGTTATTCACATAAATCAAGTATATTAATTCCATCTGTCTTTTTCTCGGAACACCTTATTGTTTCTCGAATGTCTTATTACATTGCTATTTCACGGGAGAAATCATCGATCTCTCGTGTACATTCGCAATTTGGTTTGAAAGTTATCTATCTGTGTGTTTCAATAGTATCCAACTGGTGCTTTAACGTGATTTAACTAATTATAATCTCGCCTGGCATTACAATTCTGTTAGCTTTAGCGAACTCCAAATCGATCGAATCTAAGATTATTTGCGATAATTTCTTAGCTTATTCATATTTCTTATTTATCTCAGGCTAAATTCGTGAGAATTTTCGCTGTTTTTCTATCGCTAGCGTACAAATCCTAAATGTTTATGTTACATGTTATATACATACATATAGGATAACCATCTCTGTTATTGTGTCTGTTCTTATTAATGTATCTTTATATTTAAATAAGTCATAAAGAAAAATAAATGAGAAAACTAACACAAATAAATAATATAATAATATTAACATAAAATATTTGTTAATTAAATTAAATTATTATTAATGTATGTGATACAAAGATATATTCAATTTTTTAAAACTATCAAAGTATAGCAAATATTTTTTCGAAAAATATAAGAAATTTATATGAGTTCAGTAATACCGCGAGATTTTAAGCTTGTTAATGCGCCCTGTATTGGAGCTAAGAACGTTATGTTATGAACGTACATTGAAACGATGTATTAAAGTAATGATTTATGCAATATTAACTTAAACAATTAGCTAACATTTATTATCTAGTTTAGCACATGTTAAAATGAATCAAATGCGGATAGGCGCACAAATTGGAAGCACATTAATAAAATCATCATTCCTAATAGAGACAAAAACATTTGTCTTATTTTTATCAAGAACATTTAAAATATTAATATACATACTATTTTAAAGAATTTATTCATAAACAAAATAAAATACTATCATTATAATAATAACAATAAGAACAATAAAACCTCAAGGACAGCTGAAAAAGACGCAGGCGGCCGTGCTCATGCTTGTCATTGTCACGATACGCTTTTATCCGAGATTTTAGCAAAGTTGGAACTCTGAAATCCTAAACGTGCGCGGGGACAGCGACAGCGATAATTATCGAGAGTAGGACGCCTCTCTCTTTTTCTCTCTTTCTCTCTCTCGCTCTCTCTCTCGCGCTCTCTCTCTCTCTCTCTCTCTCTCTCTCTCTCTCGCTCTCTTTCTCCGCGCTACGGTCGTGCGGTGAAAAACGAGTCGGTATACGTGACGAAATGCGGTCGGTCCTCGCGCGTGTATCGCCGACGAGGCCGCGGGATATCGGGGCGCGTACAGGTACACACTTGTCGCTTATTCGCGTTCGTGCGAGCGCGACGGTTACTCGCGGTAAATTTACCCGCGAATTATCGCGAGAGCGAGTCTCCTTACCGCGCCTCTCTTCACCTTTCCTTTCCTCCTCGCCTCGCTTCGCCTCGCCTCGCCTCGCCTCGCCGCACCTCGCCTCGCCTCGCCTTGCTTCGCCTTGCCTCGCCCCGCCTTCGCTTTGCCTCGCTTCGCCGCTTTGCCGCCCATACCATGCCTGTACGAATCTGTGAGTCTAAGGCTCGTACGAATTTTAGACCGCGTCGCCACATACACTCGTCGTAAATCCAGATCTCCCTTGGGCATTGCCAACGGTGGTAGCGGATTTAAGGTTTTGCTGTATCACACAGGCATCCTCTGACCTTCTCTCTCTCTCTCTCTCTCTCTCTCTCTCGCTTTCATATTCCGCCATAAAAGACCGGAAAATTCAGCTTCGGTAAATGTTATAAATATTACGGAATTTTCTTAGGATGTAAAAGCATGTGAGCGAACGGTTCGTTTCATACTAGACACATTTCTAGTTTTTTCTGCGTACAATACGTAGTTCGCGAAACCGCCTCGACAGCTTGAAAATATTATCTATAACATTTGATTGATCCACCTATCTAAATATTATGTAAATGTAATCGGGTATACATCCGGTGTCGGACTTGAATTATTTTCTGCGTTAAACGATTAATAAGTATTGTTAATAACAAAAAGAGATACAATATAGAGTCGAGTCAAAAATCTTTTCCAAAGCTTCTTTTCAAAAAGTTCTTCATCCACTCTTCGAAGGGTCCGTTCACATACCTAACGCATGCTATTTTTAGGTCCAGGTAGTAATTCATGAATGCCCATTCGTCGCAAACGAATAGGCATCCAGCCCATCGTTGATCGCGACGGCTGTCGATGAGTCAAACCGTCAAATGATAGAGTTAGAACAGAGACGCACAACGAAGGACACGAAGAAAGGAGAGTATCGGACAATTCGTAAACGCCGAGGAATGAGGATGATAGGGGCAGCAGAAGGGATGATTCGTCTCTCTCGTCCACGACATTGGTACGAGTAGAGTGGAGTGAGAGGTAGAGTGGGGGTAGATGCGCGCCGCGAAATATATCCTGTGCGCAGATAGAAGGGGGAACGAGTGACCAGTCAGTCGACCGCCTCGCATAGCGGAGTAAGTCGTCAGCATTCGTTTAACCATCAGCTATCGTGGTTCGTCGCGCTCGATATGAGCATTCGGTTGACACGGTAGTACGAGGTATCCGGTGAGCCTTGTTGAGTTTAGAGTAGTGATCAGCTCATATCGTAAGAGAACGAGAAACCAGACGCTACGCGAAACGAACGCGCATCTTGCGGGGTGTCATTCGCGTTCGCGAGCATCGCGCTGGTCACTTTGGACGTGTTATTCACGTGTTATTCACGAGAGAACGAAAAGACAGACGCAACGCGAAACAAACGCCGCATCTCACGGTAGTGTTATTCGCGATCGCGCGCCCTACGTTCGCGAACTTTTGACTTAAAAGCCGTATCCTCTCGGACAACGAGGACGAACGCGCTACGGCGATCTTCGCGAAATCTGATCTTGTAGAGTTCGAGCCGGTGTGCGATCTCTCGTGCCGGAACGTGTGTGCCTATCGCCGTCTCCATTTCACCCGATTCGTCCATCTCGCTCACGCTCCGACTACCACCCCAAACCACGCTATTCCTCGTGGTACAGCAATAATATCGTTTCCCGCGCGCACTTCGGATTGGCTGTTGCAGTCGCAACCAGAGGAGCGGAGAGGTATACCGGGGAGTACCAACACGCTCCGTTTTACTCGCGCTAGCGCCGTCAACGGGAGAGGAGCACAGGGAGAGCGGTGGAGCGGCAAGGTGTAGAGCAACGGCAGCAGTGTGCTTTGCTTCGACGGAGGGCAGCAGGGTGTAGGAGGGAGAAGAAGCGAGAAAGAGAGAGAGAGAGAGAGAGAGAGAGAGAGAGAGAGGTGGTGGTTGTAGCCGCCCGACCGACCGACCGAGTTGTTTCATTCATAAAAAAGTTCTTTATTACTCTCTGTGAGCGCATGTGCTATTCCACCACGGAGGAGGAACGAGTACTACTACTCCCCCGACCGGCTGCGACGGCGTAACCGCGTTTACACATAGTATTATTTACTACTGTGCGAGATACGAATCGGCGCCACACGCCGTACCGGCAGCGCGGCGTACGGATCGTTCCGTTCCCATCTCTGCATTCGCACCAGTCATCATCATCGCGTTCATCATCCGGAGAGAAACTGTGCGTGTGTCCGCGGACCAAACAAACGTATATAACTTGATGACTTTTTTAAATTTACTCTTGGTTTTAAATATCAATCGCGCGCGATTCAAAAAACTCATTTAAATAGTGCGCTGAAAATTAATCGGCATCGAGTCGGTGAAAGAATTGATAAGACGATCAGCGAACGAGGTGTTAAGTGTCTAGGTGTCCAGGTGTTTAGGTGTCATTGTTACTGCGAAAAACAGCAAGCTGGATCAACAACAAGAATCCGCCGTGGATCTCTCCCCAGATTCTGCGGGGGGATCTGCGAATCGAAGAGATCGTAGACCACGTCGTCAACATAATAGCTTAAGCTATCGTTACAATAATTTGACAGCCAGAAGATACGACAGCTTAAACGGCAACGACCCTAGGCCGGGTACGAGTTCAACTAGACAACAAGGTACGATGCCGCGGAATGAACCACGACAGGCGGGCAAGCGACCGGTGAAGACTCTCACGCCCCCAGAAAAAGTAGACGCCATTAATAGGGTACATAATGGTGAATCTAAGGCCGCTGTGGCACGCGACATCGGCGTGCCAGAGTCCACCCTCAGAGGATGGTGTAAGTCGGAACAAAAAATAATATCCCAAGTTACCAACATAAGAGGTTCGGGAACGTCAATGCCAGGAACGTCAATGCCAGGAACGTCAATGCCAGGAACGTCAATGCCAGGACCATCCTTGGCAGGACCATCCTTAGCAGGACCATCATTGGCAGGTTACGAGCACATTCTGACATCGAGTTCGGATAATAGTAATAGTGTGGGAGCGATTTCTTCGTCAAGATCGACACCAACCGCCCAAGCCATGATGTTGGGATTAGGATCGAGTTCTTCTGGAGTTACAGAGAAAGCTGAGGAGTTTGAAGCCGGCCCGTCCCACAAAAGAATAAAAATCGAGAATAGTTCTGCCAGCAACATGATGTCCAATAATATCTCGTCATTGGCTCGAGCACCAATGGCCAATGATACCTTAATTAATCCATATTTATACAATATGATGGATCCAACCAAGGCCTTAAATTTTTTAAACACATTTATGAAGCCTTCAGATACATTTCTTTCTTTTCCCGCATACTCGTCTCCAGCAAATCTTCTTACCGATGGTTTGCTGTCTGGGAACAATGGCACGGTGACCAAAATGACGATAGCGAATATGATAAACCAACAGCAACAACAATTGCAACAACAACAGCAACAACTACAACAGCAACAACAACAACAACAACAAGCTAACAACACGTTAATTAACGGGAATAAAAGGAAACATTGCGCCCCAGGACCATCAACCATGGACATCCCAAAAATATCATTGAGGACACTCAACAATCGATCACCGATTGCGGAAAAATCGTCCAGGAGCATCTCTCAACCGAACTATGAAATCTCCATGCCATCAACGTCAGCGACCAGGGGCAGTGATTCAGTCATATACGTTCCACAATCAAAAACATCCAAAAACGGTAAAAATCTTACTAATATAATAGAAAGTCTTCACCATCCATATGTACCGTCTCCGAATAGCGTAAAAGGAGTGCTATTTAATACTGTGAATAATAATAATAACGATGACGATATGGACAACGAGACTGCGAGAAAAAATTATCCCGATGTCTTGCCACCGGGATTTAATGACACGGTGGAGAATGTCAAAAAATTGTTAGAGTGGTTGCATCATTACGGTTCGCCTGTATGTACAATGAAACAAGTGGGTCACATACAACGTATTTTGACACGTCTACAAGATTGGGTTGATAAGAAGTCAAAAACGGAACTTCCCCAAAGAATTAACGGTATGAGCTAGCTGAAGCAAATATATATCTAATACATATTTGTGTATATATATATATAATGTATATAAATAATGTATATATCTATTACGCGTTACATACATTGAGACAAAAGTCTGGTAATAGTTACTGAATTTTGTTGATCGTATTGGCGCAATATTTAGTAAGTATTACCAAACATAATAATAATAATAACTGTTTGATAATAATAATTACTATGTATTTAGAAAAGTAAAATTATCATTTAGTTGCTCCAATTTGATACTTAAAATCAAATTATTTAATAATATTAATGAATATTTAATTATTTGTAATTATTTGTAAATATGTAATTGTATGAAAAAAATTTACTAATTAATTTTATAATAGTTATTAGATTATTTGGTGCAACTAAATAGTCAGGACTGCCGCTAGATGATCGTTTCTAGCATATAAAATTTAGTCGAGCTTTCTGTATAATCAAGTCTATATGACTGAAGCTCAGATATAATTATATAGAAGACAAATTAGGTAAATGTCATCTAATTGCCAACAGTCTTTTTCTGAGTATAGTTACCAAATTGTTAACAATAATTGTTGTTAAATCATACAGTAATTATGACCAAACGACTTGATAATATTCATTATATCCAATAAGTAAAAATTCAAATTTTGTATGATAGATTAATTTAGTAATATTTGCCATACTATTCAGTATTTGTTACTGTGTAATTTAGCTGTACGTCTATTACCAATTCATTTGGTTATATTTATCATACGATTTAGTAATAATTATCTAGCTTTATTACCAATTTCCAAATCTTGATTAAACTGTTTAGTAATAGTTACTAAATTTTTTGGTTTTATATGTGTACATATGTATATTAATTGAACATATAAGTGAAAGCGTTTCACCAAAGCATTTAGTAATTGTCTAGGCTAGATTACATTGTAATTAATCTTAAGTTTTTCAGGGTACCTATCATGGAAAAAGTCGGAATGGATTCCGATTGGAATTATTCAATTATTCCCTAGATTTCTATTGTGTTTTCTAGGGAAAACGGAATAATTCCGATCGGAATTCATTTCGATATGATAGGTACCCTGTATTGCCTTGTCCACAACCTTGCTTTAAGAGGTCATAAATTGTAAGTGACGATATATCGGCTACAGAATTTATACTCTTAGGTAAGAATTGGGTTTTGCTCAGTTCGCTTAAGTCTAACGGTTAAAGCCTAAAGACTGCGCAAAAACAATTTGCAAAGGCAGAAATTATTGTCACGTAATCTTTTTCGACTTATGACTTAAGGCCTCTTAAAGCAAGGTTGTGGACCGATACTATATGTAGATGCGTTATTTCTTATACTTAGTTCCTCCGTATTTTTTTTTTGCGTTTTTGTGAAAATAAGTTTGACAAATCGCATAGCGAACGCGATGCTCATGAAAGTTCATTTTGCGTTTTTGAAAATGTTTGACAAATCGCGTGCCGAACGAGATGCTCATGAAAGTTCATTTTGCGTTTTTGAAAATGTTTGACAAATCGCGTGCCGAACGAGATGCTCATGAAAGTTCATTTTGCGTTTTTGAAAATGTTTGACAAATCGCGTGCCGAACGAGATGCTCATGAAAGTTCATTTTGCGTTTTTGAAAATGTTTGACAAATCGCGTGCCGAACGAGATGCTCATGAAAGTTCATTTTGCGTTTTTGAAAATGTTTGACAAATCGCGTGCCGAACGAGATGCTCATGAAAGTTCATTTTGCGTTTTTGAAAATGTTTGACAAATCGCGTGCCGAACGAGATGCTCATGAAAGTTCATTTTTTCCTATGTTTTTCTACCTCTTAGGATTAGTGTTACATTTAAATTTAAGTTTAGGAATTTATTATTTCTGAATAAGAATTTTCAAATATTTCAAATTAATATCATCATTTATCAATTTATCATCATTTATCAATTAATTGTTTATATAAAAAAATTATTCGGATATGCACGCGACGATATTATTGAAAAAGAAAATATACAAAAAATAAAATCTTAGATCATTCCTTTTACAGATAATTTGTTTACTTACCATAATGAAAGTTTTAACTAGTGGCTGATACTCGATGTGATCACTGATGAATTGTACACATCCACGCCATGTATATAATTCCGAATACGGCAGCGTACTTCGTTTGATACTTGTAGATACAAATTTCTATGGAAATAGAAAAAATTTATTCTACTAGCGTTTTTCGTCGCGGCGTATTTTTTTGCGTTTCTTTTTTATATTATTAAGTATTCTTATCATTGTTTATCACATTAATGATTTAAATTAAGTCAAAACAAAAAAATTTCTTGTATTTTAATGATAATTGATTACGTACATATTTTAATGTACATATTTTATTTCTGACCTTTTAATTTTTGTAAAAACGAGTTTTACCTTTGTATAAAATCAAAATGTAAATTGAAAAAAGTAAAAAAAAAAATAAATATAAAAATGCATATAAAGTTTGTTCTTATTTTAATCCTTAGAAAAGTAATCCTTATTATTTTTAAGAATATTATTTTTAATCAAATTGTCGTGCGAAATCTTAAGTTAAATATTATCAAGGTAAAAAATTCCATTGCTCTCTATCTCTATGTCTATAATAATTCGTGTATATATCCTTAATGTATTTGTATTCGATACAAGTATATATTCAAATTCCTTAATCCTTCTTGTTTTCACAGGTTATAAGAATTATACATAGAATTTTACTATAAATGCCGATACGAATTATCAATCTAAAGGAATCTTAATGACATTTTGAACAATTTTTTTTAATATACATGATTTCACATATTTTAACTGCAATAGTCTAATCAGCTGATCTTGTGATCAGCTGATATTACAAACAGCTGACTTTGCAATCAGCTGATTTTATGTTTCACTAGGCATATTTGTAATAATCTTGTACATTTGCAAATTGCAAATATAAAAAGTCAAATTGCACATTACAAAATTTTACGAATACAAATATAAAACACGCTACTTTTATAAGATTAGTCTTTAACGAATATAATATACCTTTTTTCTTAAACCGATATTGTAGAATCCCATAGTGATTTGAAAAAAGAAGAGAAATAATTTTGTTGAACATAAGATTCATGTAGTAATTAGGAGAAAAAAAGCAAGATTCCCTCTTTCTCTCTTTTTCTTTATACTGATATATTTATTACACTAATTTACAGCAAGAATTCGTGATTATCACACAGTCAAGGATTATAGCTTTTTCGAGATCGAATTTTGCACCCACTTGTATACGACATTCATTTTCGCAGGCCAACAACAACGGTCGGCGATTCGCGTACTTCGCATGGAACTGTCGTCGAAAGTTTTCCGCGTACCACAATAGTAGTCGCTCCTTGTCACTGACGCAACGGTAGGTATTCGGAAGTGATCGTACGTAGAGGTCCTCCGTCATTATCGAGACATCCGGCCAACACAACTTGATCAGGCACAATTCGCGTTGCACTTGCTGCAGGATCTCCTCGACAGTACTAGTGGATTTCTCTATATCGTGCTCGTCCTCCAGACGTTTATCCAGCGACGACGGATGTAGATCGTCGAAATCGAATTGCTTCTCAGCCGCGAGATTTGTCATGATGTCATTCATTGCGACGGCAATCTGATTACCCGACGTGGACTGTAAAACGTATATTTTTAAGTCGATTGACCGCGAATGTTTATTAGCGCGATTATGAAACCGCGATTCGAATTCACATCGACATGCAAACAAGCCGTAGTCGCTATGACAACGTAATACGGCAAGTGTATCACACCTCGGCGAAAGTACCGTACGTAGGTGGCAGCATCAAGTGGGATAGAGAGAGAAGGTAATAAAAATATTTAATTAATACGAATCGAAAACAAAATAGATACTTATTTACTAGTAATTATGCGTGTATTTATTAGCAAAGATATTTGCGGAAAGCTGATCTTTATTTTTTAACGAGGACACTCAGGTATTTTGAAAACAATAAAAGAAAAATGAAATTTTGTAATTAAAAATTTTTTTTATGAGAAAAGTGGAAAAGATCTTTCACTTCAATAATTATTTCACAACAGAATGAAAAGCCTTGGTGTTCTGTTTGTATGACGTCAATAAGAAATATGTTACCTTAAGTTATTGGGCATATAAGATGTAAAATCGAGAAGATGTCATTACTGAATAGGAATAGACAAAAAGTTGCATGCTTCAATTTTTAGTAAAGATAGTATTATTGATTGTATTAAAGATTGTATTATTCAAAGATCCAATGGGGGGGGGGAAGAAAAAAAGATTTATTTTTCTAATTATTTTATATAGAATAAAAACACTTAGTGATTCATTTAAAGTCGGTAAAGAAGAAATCGTATCTCCAATATTGTATCTAAACGTGTGAAATCAATAGTTGGAATTCAAGTCGGCAAAGCAGCTAGACATGCTTGCCGAGCGAATGAGGATGATTGGTTCTTATCTGTGGATCCAACCAATCATGTTTAATTGCTCGGCGAGCAGACCTAGGCCCAGTTCCACAACTCACAGTTAACTCTTAACCGAGGTTCGACTTAATCATTGTCTCTTTTCAATTCTAGAATTGGAAAGAGATGAGAAACAAGTTGAACCCCGATTAAGAGTTAACCATGAGTTATGGAACTGGGCCCTAGTCACTTTGCTCACTTGACTTCGCCTATTAGTACCGCTGTGTAAGTAGCTAACAGGTAGAAAAGTAAATCTGACTTTTGTGACAGAAAAAGGTTTAAAACTTGAAAGAAAAAAGAAGGACTCTTATTTTGATATTTTGTACGAAACAGAAATACTTACTGTGCATTTGCTTGGCATCGATAAGGAAGAAATTGCACCAAAGAAAATTATAATTTCAAAAGTAAAATAATAAAATATGCGTTAAAATATAAAATATTCTTTTGTAAATCTCTACATCTTTTTTCATATAATTAATCAAAGTTCTAAAAATCACAATTTATAAAATTTTAGGCTTAGGAATTTCAATGTGAAAAAAATTAATT